TGCCATCTTGGTTTCACCTAGCCAAACTTTTATTTCTTTTATCTTTCATATTATGGAGAATAGTAAGTATGAAAGTTTTGCTTAACAGCTAACATACTGTCCTGAACATAAAATGTTAAAAATATTAGTTTTCTTTGGATTCTGAAGTCATGGGAGTGGAAGGAGAAAAACCAAGATGCTTATTATAGAGCTAATTGGACTTACTCTGCTACATAATTTACAGCAACTGTGACACATGGCAGTGGAATATATTAAAGCAGCATTGTGCACTTGTAGCTATACACATGAGGAGAAATCATAATGCATTCTAAAATTATTTAGAAATATCAGCTTACCTCAGTTAATTTTAAATAAAACTTACCCATGAAATGATTGCAGTGTCTAAAAGGAATTTGCTGACTGGACAAAATACAGCTAGAAGCATGACTACCTTAGGGTTGCCTATAAATAGACATAGAAGGTAGTTTTGTGATTTCTGCCAAGAATGCAGCTTCAATAGCTTTAGAAAAAGTTGTTTCTCTTCTCTTGGGCTCAGCATTGTTGGGATGTACTTGGACTGGTGGTGGAGGAGGGAGGTACCTGACAGAGCCAGGCGTGTCTGATAGTCAACCTTCACAATTGGCCAAATGATAGGTGGCAGTTGGCGGTCATACCCAATTTTAGTTACTGACAACTAGGAATTAGGTAAAGTAGGGGCATGTTCTCCTTTACCCTCTCTTTTCCAACATGCAGATATTTTCTGAGTAGTGTTAGTTATCAGTAAATATGGAAATGCAGATTGTTGGGCATTTATATGTAGGCTGTGCAGGATTGGTATTATTTTTCTATTTTAAGTAAAAATGTCCTCGCATAACCTTTTATTCTTTCATTGGTTTTAGAATCAGGTCCAAGGCAGGACCAAATTCTTCATGTAAAAAAATGACTAATTTTGGAAACCCATATGTTCAGTGAAGGTTTCTAAACTGCAATAGATATGAGTTAAAGATTCATCACAATTGTTATATTTGCAATTTTAGTTTTGATACTCTTTTGGGAAAATGTATTCTGGGAATATATATATAAAATTTAAAGCTTTCCACTGGTGCAGGATCCAGATATGTTCACTTGCTGTTAAGACTGTAGGGGTTGTTTTTAGCCATCAGGCGACCATTGCCTGTGGGCTGAGAATAATGTGAGAGCCATAGACCATCTGAGTCTATTGACTTGACTCAGGCAGAATAAAATTTTTTTTATTGATTTCAAAGAAGAAGGGAGAGGGAGAGATAGAAACATCAATGATGAGAGATATCATTGAATGGCTGCTTTCTGCATGCCCCACACTGGGGATAAAGCCCAAAACCTAGGAATGTGCCCTTGACTGGGAATAGAACCTGGGACCTTTCAGTCCACAGGCCGATGCTCTATCCACTGAGCAAAGCCAGCTAGGGCCATGTCGAGATTTTTTTTTTTTTTTTAAGTTTTAAAAAAAATATATATTTTATTGATTTTTCATAGAGAGGAAAGGAGAGGGATAGAGAGTCAGAAACATTGATCAGCTGCCTCTTGCACCTCCCTCCCCCCTCCACTGGGCATGTGTCCGCCATCAAGGTACACGCCCCTGACCTTTCAGTCCCCAGGCCGACGCTCCATCTACTGAGCCAGACCGGTTTCAGCCCATGTTGAGATTTTAAGGGGGATAGTTTATTGAGACATGGGTTTTCAGATTAGTATTTTTTTTTTTTAAATTTCTGTTTCTATGAGTTTAATTTGGAAAAGAGTACCAGATTGTCTTTGGAATCACTAAATCCAGCCATCTCCTCCTGACTTTTACAATGTCCTTATAATGACTAACATATACCTTCCTGCCTTCAGGTTTGTAACAAATGTGAAACTGAGTTTCAAAGGTTCATTTCTGCCTTATTTCCTCATGGACTATACATAGCCCAGAAGCATCATCTTATGACATTTTAAAATTTCAAAATGTAATAGCACAGGTTACATAATAATGCCATAGTACTTCTAACTGAATATAGTATCCCTCTGGAGTTTGCGCACATACATTTTTTATGACCCTGTGTGCCAGTATTTTCGCAGATCTATCAATTTCTTTAGGGCAGAGATTTCACTTATTTTCAAATAGCACTAGACCCAGAAAAAAGTTATAAAAATATTACCCTAAATTTCATTGTGCCCTTTACATAGCTTCTCCAAATGTTAACATCTTACATAACTATAATCTAATTATGGAAACAACATGGACATTGATATAATAATATTAACCAATAGGAGTCATTTATTTCAGTTTTGCCAATTGTCTTACAAATGTCTTTTTGTAGGTCCAGGACCCTACAGTGCATTTAATTGTTTTCTTATTCTCATCTAGTCTGGCAGGAGTCTTTCTCTATTTTTTCTAACTTCAATACTTGGAAGAGTCCTGGCCAGTAATTTTGTAGAATGTCGCCCAGTTTGGATTTATTTTATTTCTTTATGCTAAGAATTGGCTTATGCGTGTTTGGCAAGAGTATCACAGAAGCAATGCTGTGCTCTCTCAGTGTATTATATCAGAGGGTTCATATTTATATCAATATGTCTCATTGCTTGTAGTCTAACTATTGGGAGAAGATGCTTTAAAAACAGTGCAGATGTCCTGTTTCTCATCATAGTTTTTGTCTGTTAATTTTATATTCCACTGATAATTCTTACCTGCAACAGTTATTACTTGGTGTTTGCCAGACTCTGATATATTTTATTTCTATCATTCCTTCAAATTTATTAATTAGAATTCTATAAGAGCTATTTCTTCCTTCATTTATTCAGTTATTATATCAATGTGAACTCATGGATACTTACTTGTGTATTATTATATTTTTTATTATATAAAATTCATTACTAGCCAAAACCGGGTTGGCACAGTGGATAGAGCGTCGGCCTGCGGACTGAAAGGTCCTGGATTCGATTCTGGTCAAGGGCATGTACCTTGGTTATGGGTACATCCCCAGTTGGGGGTGTACAGGAGGCAGCTGATCGATGATTCTCCCTCATCGATGTTTCTAACTTCTCTATCCCTCTCCCTTTCTCTCTGTAAAAAATCAATAAACTATATTAAAAAAATAAAAATAAAATTCATTACTATATTTTATTGCCCACATTGTCTCATCTTTGGCCAAGGAGAGTCCCTTCAGGTAGGTTCTTGTGTCTCATGATATAGCCCCATTATTAAAAAAAAAAAGGTATTTTGTTACTTAATCTTTTGGTATCACAAGATGCACCAAGTTCATTTTGCTCCAGCCCAGGAATTGGTCTTTTCTCCAAATACCTCTAGAAATTTTCATTGGAGATTGATATTTAGGAACAAAATTTTGATGCAAGATATGCTCATTGCTACTGGTATGTCATTACTTCTATGCCCTTGCACTTGACAAAGCTAGGAAGTATGCATATGTATATAAACACATATAAACCCCTCTCTTTCTCTGTCGGTCTATCTATCTACTTATCTATCTCTCAATATTTATCTATCTATTAAAGGCTATAAGTTCATCCTGATGCTTCTAATTAGAACCCAATACCACTAATTTCCTTCTAGACATCTCCTCTTCCTGGTTTGCAACTCCTTTCTCCAACACTGAGAGATCTGGCTTTCATTATCTGTATTATATCTACTTATTTGCTCAACTCTTGTTTACATCTAAAGGAGTTTCAGCCCTAGCCGGTTTGGCTCAATGGATAGAGCATTGACCTGTGGGCCAAAGGGTCCCTGGTTTGATTCTGGTCAAGGGCACATACCTTGATTGCAGGCTCCTCCCAGGCCCAGGCCCTGGTTGGGGTGCCTGCAGGAGGCAACCAATTGGTGTATTTCTCACACATAGATATTTCTCTCTGTATTTCCATTTCTATTCATCTCTCTAAAAGATCAATGGAAAAATATCCTCAGGTGAGCATTAACAACAACATAAGTTTCAGAGTAGTGATTTCTAGATTCTTGTGAGGAAAAAAAATATATGAACTAGACAGTAGTGTTAGGGTACAGTTTGTTTTGTCTTTAGCTTTGTAATATATAATAAAAATACTGATTTCCAAAATTGTTCAGATTAGGTCTTTTCCCCTCCACCCCTTTTAGTGTAATTATGTTGTTCATTTGCAATACAGCTAGGCTCATTGATTGGTTGTGCTCCATTTGGGTTCCCCTGACACATGGAGGTTGACTATAATTATCATTTATTGGGAAGGTATGTGAAACATTACTTTAGTTCTCAGTCAGAATTATATGAAAAGGCATACTCAGAAAAGCACCATCCCCACCCCTTGTATCATATTTCATTCCCTCATTCTTTATATTCCCTTGCATATAACCAATTTCATTAGTTTCTAATTTATTATTCTGTTTTTCCTTTTTGCACAAATAAGTAGCTACCTATATGTCTCCTTCTACATTGACTATATTTCAAAGTCTTTTTATGGTACAGGCAATTTGAATTCTGTTTGATGATTTTGTCTTAAGGGCACTGCTCAAGATTGGTGTATCCTTACTGCTAATATATTAGGAAGCTAATGAAACTATTGCTTTCTTCCTTGAAAAATATTTTGGGGACTTTTTTTCTAAAATGAAAATGAGAACATGGATTTAAATGGGCTCATTAGCACTGAACTATCTATTTCTTAGGATTTGTAAACAAACAAACAAAAAAGGTAATTTAAAGCAAGCAACAATGTTTAAGCAGTAACGTTTTTCAGGTTTCCCTTACCCCTTTGTGTGCGTGTGTGAGTGTGTGTGTGTGTGTGTGTGTGTGTGTGTGTGTTTAGCAAGGCATTTAAAATTTAGTTTTCCTTATTAATTGAATTTGAATTATTTTAAATATCAATGAAAGCTGCTAGACTGTTGTATAAAAAAATGTAGTTTTGCTTCTGGATGTCTTGCAGATCAGCTCTTCTTACAAGCAAAGCATTTCCCTAAGCCTGTGTACTAGCATTCTTTGGGGCATTTCATTGTGAACTCTTTTTTCTTTGCAAATGCTCTGCAGGCCTTTGGGCAGTCCTACTCCATCCACCGGAAAGTTGCTGAGGATGGAGAGACTCGGGAGGAGACGCTGCTGCAGGAGTCGGCCTCGAAGGAAGCGTACTACCTGGGGAAGATCTTGGAGATGCAGAACGAGCTGAAGCAGAGCCGGGCTGTGGTCACTAACATTCAGGCAGAGAACGAGAGGCTGACAGCCGTGGTGCAGGACCTGAAGGAGGTAAACAAGAACCCTGCGAGCAATCTGGGGGCAAGGGAAATAAGATCAAGTTCTGTCAGGGGAGCTATATTAAGCAAGAAGCACCTAAAACCAATGATAGCACCTTTCCAGCAATTTTAGTGAAATGGCAGCTTGTTCTGAGATGAGCTTCTCTCTTACGGTTCATTAAGGATTCAAACATTTGTTTATTGAGTATTTGGGAATTGGGCTTGCTGCTTCTGCAAAGGTGTTTAAAAAATATAGTACTTGGCTGGCATAGCTCAGTGGTTGAGTGTTGACTCATGAACCGGGAGGTCACTGTTCAATTCCCAGTCAGGACACTTGCCCAGGTTGCAGGTTCAATCCCCAGTTGGGTGTGTGAGGAGGCTGCGGATCAATGATTCTCTCTTATCATTGATGTTTCTATCCTCCTCTCTGAAGTCAATAAAATATATATAGCTGAAACCGGTTTGGCTCAGTGGATAGAGCATCAGCCTGCGGACTGAAGGGTCCCAGGTTTGATTCCGGTCAAGGGCATTCATCTTGGTTGTGGGCACAACCCCAGTGGGAGGTGTGCAGGAGGCAGCTGATCGATGTTTCTCTCTCATTGATGTTTCTAACTCTCTATCCCTTTCCCTTTCTCTCTGTAAAAAAATCAATAAAATGTATTTTAAAAAATATATTTTAAAAAATATATTTTAAATGTATATATTTAAAATATATATTTTAAAATATATGTTTAAAATATATATTTAAAAATATATATTTAAAATATATATTTAAAAATATATATAGTAAGAAAGAGAGAGAGAGAGAGAGAGAGAGAGAGAGAGAGAGAGAAAGAGAGAAAGAAAGAAAGAGAGAGAGAAACACCTTAACACTTCTCCCCCTTTTCCCTGTTGTAACATGCAGTGGAGAATGGTTGGCTGTGATGCTCTGTGTCGGCCCTGATTCAAAATGACAGTGAGGTTATCTCAAGACTTTGCACCGGGCAGAGAGACATCGGGGGAGTTTTCTTAGAGTCTGCAGAACTATAGACTGTTTCTCTGGTTGTAGAAAAGGCAGCAGATTAGAGCTGGTATGCGTTAGGTCTGGGAGCCTGCCTTCTGGACTCCCTGTTTCACTCCAGCTTTCCCACCGCTGCATCACGCACCAGACCACTTTGGGACAGGCAGGGTCCGTCCGCCAGTGATGCTGGGGACACAGAGAGCCAAAGGCAGCCTCATCCACCAAATCCTGTTAAGAGCATTTTTGGAAACTTCATAGTAAATCATTCACTCCAGTTTTTTTTTTTTTTTAAATATATTTTGTTGATTTTTTACAGAGAGGAAGAGAGAGGGAGAGTCAGAAACATCGATGAGAGAAAAACATCGATCAGCTGCCTCTTGCACACCCCCTACCGGGGATGTGGGATGTGCCCGCAACCAATGTACATGCCCTTGACCAGAATCTGCAGACTGATGCTCTACCGCTGAGCCAAACTGGCTTTGGCTGACTCCAGTTTTTGATATGAAAGCTGTGAAAGAGGTGCTGATGTCCTCGAATTACGACACCAGTGCAGCAGAGGTTGACCAACAGGTGTTAAGTCCACTACCGAGTGGGCTTATTAATTGAGCATTTTAGTAATAGAAAAAGGTAGGATAAAATCATGTTAATGTTGTGAAATGCAGTAGAAGTAATCCACTGATGTGTTTCTTAAAATCAGTGACATGTTACAAATAGCATTTTGTTATTTTTGTGATGTTATCCAGAATTTATTGGAATTTAATCAGTAATTTTATATATTACACATACCCATATTATAATGAATTCAATGAACATCTACAGTAAGGTATCTGCTTTGCCCAATTCATTATTTTTGGACATATCCAAATATGGTTGTATGATTTGTGGAGACAGAGAAAGGAGCCAACCAAGTAGAAGTTAGTATTCTTAGCACTTAAGTGCTAAGAGTGTAAGACAGTTTTCAGGAAGTGATGCTTTGCCTCACTTCCCTTAGCTGCAAACGATTGTTAAAAACCAAACTGCTCTCCAGTTCTTTATCTGCTGCATCTCTCTGTGCTGGGCTTGGGGCATCACTTGCTTACCCTTTGGAGTGCCAGCCCTTCCTCCTCCTCCTAAGGAATTACCAGTCCCCCTTCCTATTCCAAGCTTCCCTATGAGATAGGGGTCCACTGCAGAAGGTCATATAGTGACATAAACCACCCTCCTTGACTAAACAAGATATTAGACATCCACAGGGGGAAACCTCAGCAGCATGAGCAGCAGATGCACATGGCAAGTCAGTAGAGAGGGTGTGACATGAACAAGGTGAGGGCCAAGTACACACGCATGCAGGCGGTTTGTGCAGAACTGTGACCAATGAGCCAAGCAGTCATGACGGCCGGTTGGATGGATCCTCAAAGCTGCACATCCCTGCAGTCACAGAGCTGCAGCTGAGGACAGGGCAGAGAATCCAGAGATGTTTTTCTGTTGAGCCAACACAGTAGTGATTGACAGAGCATCCTCACACTGTGCTTGAGTGCAGTTTCCAATGAGCAGATCTATAATAAGCAGGAGTTGGTAATTATGAATGAGGGTGTAAGTGAGGAATAAAGCGAGGCATCAAAGGCAAAAAGAATTTGAGGAGTTTTTTATTCAGATCAGTTCTCCAATTTTAGTGACCATCCGAATCACCTAGAGCAGTGTTTCCCAAAGTGTGGTACGCGTACCCCCAGGGGTACGGGAAGAGTTTGGTGGACGTACGCGTTGCGCCGGAGTTTGGTGGGGATGTGCACTGCACTGTGCTTAGCTGCGCCTAATTCTATGTTCTCATGAGTACTAGAGGCACTCGGCGTTACGAAAATTATAGAAGGGGTACACATATGTCAAAAGTTTGGGAAACACTGACCTAGAGAACTCATCAGAGATGAGTCCTGGGCGCCACTCCCAGAGGGTCTGGGTCGGCAGGTCTCAGCAGGATTCAAGAATTTTTAATAAGTTCACGCACATGGATCTGTGGCTGTTGCTCTGGAGACCACACTTAGAACCACTCATTTAAATGTGTTGGCTAAGCAAAAGCTGGGAAAGGGAGTATCATAGGATCATAATTTAAGGAATTGCTGAAAGTACCTTAATCTCCTGAATGAATCACTTGGTTATAGTCCTTTGATATCTGCCTTTTCAGTAGTTATTTGCAATAAGAGAATAACTTGTTACATCCAACATTTTTAATCTCAAATAACACAAGGCTATTTAGCTGATGAATGTATTCATTCAGGTTTGTGAGGTAACTAAAAGGAAAAAATAGGCAAGTTGTTGGTTGGATTCCTAGTCTTCTGAGTGTGCCAACAGTGTAATTTATTGATGTTTTCTTGGCTGGGCTAAAAGCTAGTGGTATCATTACACCCGAAGGCCTGCTGTTTTTCATCTATGCCTCATGTTTTAATGTAGCTAATAAAACTAATACTAGTATTTAGAACTGACTCCATTTATAAAAGGAGAAAGGAATAAGTTCTATTTTTTGATGTATTGGTCCAGACTTTTGATGACTGGTATTAAATTAAAATTTCAGATCTGTTTTATTGTAGGCTCAATTTTATTTATTTTTCACATTCTGGGCATTGACTGTTGTATAGTGATTGCAAGAAAGATTCTGAAGCAAACAAAAAAAAAGTCATGACATGATAGAAACATGGGAAATGGACAAAGATAACCAATGCAAAATGTAGTAAATCATCAGCTTGACAGATGCTGTGTGAATTTAATCATTGAATTAAGGGAGTCATATTTACTTACTGAGAGGACTCATCTCTTCAATAAGATTGTTGGTAATGGCAAAGGCATATGTGTTTGTATATGTGGTGTGTGAATTATGGAAGCTCTATACATATGTTTGCATGAATGTATGTACATGTCTATAATTACAAGGTCAAATTTTCCTCTATATATGGTAGGTATAAGATAATATAGTGGAAAAAATGGTAAATTTTCTGAATTAGAGTTAGAAAATCAATATTTAGTCTCAACTCTGTTAAAAGTTTTAGAATTTTATTCATGGCATTTATAAAGATTATTTGAGTATGTAGTAAATATATAATAAACATAAATTCTTGTCATTGGTAACTTTCTGCACATTTCATTAAAATATTGTTGAAGATATCACTTATTATGTAGATCCATTTTCTTAAGTTAAAAAAATATTAGATAAATATCTCTTTGAATTTGTTACCTTGAAAATTCTTCCTGTTGAGATATGAACCTAGATGTTTCATATAAATCTTCTCATCTTTAAACATTTTATCAGTCTTATTGTATATATTTTTAATGGAAAACTGCTTTAAGTAATTTTTTAAAGTATAGGAAGTATTTTAAAAATCACTCAAAGAACCAAATTAGGAGTTAATCTTAACCAAATTAGGAGTTAATCCTACAGGGCCAGTAATAGAAGAAAAAAAAATCCTTGGGTTGCCTTGATAGGCATCGTTTTGCTGAGAGCTTAACAAGAACAGATAGATTACTATAGTGACGAAGCAGTAACTAGTAAACACATTGGAATTTCATATTTTTAAATCTCCAAACTATAGGCCTTAACATTAGAAGATAGCCTAAACAGGCTTATTTGGACAATATTTATTGAACACTTACTTGGTACTAAGTTAAACTAAAATCCACATTGATGAAATCACAAAATAGGATAGTGAAACTTCTAATACTGCTGAGTAGTCTCAATAGCTAATAAGATAAATCAGAATTTACTGCAATATTTACAAAGTATACAATGCACTTATGCCAGTATTCCTAACCAGAACTGGTGTTTATGTAAAAAAAGAGATGTCACAGAAGATGGACCCCTTTGGATGGAAAGCAGAAGATTGGAGTGGTAAACTGGATTATTGACTTTAGTAGAGAATAAGTCTATACTTTAAAGTGCAATTAGCTGAATGTTTATTGACTGCCAGCAATGTGCCAGGCACTGTTCTAAATTCTTTTTAAAAAAAAATAAATCTTTATTCATATTATTACAATTATTTCCGCCCCCC